AAAAAAAAAAAAAAAAAAAAAAAGAGGAAGAATAGAACCCAGGCTGTCGCTAAAACAGAATTAGGAGTCTCTTGGGCCAGGGGTCACAAAGTCCCCTGAGGTGGGCCAAGGAAGAGAGGCTGTGATCCAGGCCCCCCTTTGGCAAAGCTGAGCCCCCTGGTGCATCCAAATCCCAGCCCAAGCACCCACCCTGGGACCCCCCCAGCACATGGGATAGGCCAGCACCACAGGCAGGCACAGTGCCCTCAAGGTGACCTCAGAGATAACGTAGGGCCCAACGGCAGGAGACAGTCACAACGCAGTGGCAGAGTGTGAGGTCAAAGGCAAGGGAAAAAAATCCCTGAAGTCTGAACAATGAGAGTCTCTGGTTTGGATGGTGAGTGGATTAAATACTCTGAGGTTTGTCCATTTCCCAAATTGCCTATAATAAGCAAAAAATTAGGACGTCTGGACCAGAGAAAAAGAGAACTACACTGTCAGGGCCTCACCTGTCCACAGCTGTGGATGCTGCCCACACAGCCAAACGTGCTCAGCCTCCCCTGAGCTTGGGGGCAGCCACACCTGGCTACAGGACCTGGGAAGATTTTGTAGCCACTGAAACATGGGGGCTGGTGTCTCTGCTCCTCTTAGTGTTCCCTGAGGCAGGGGATTCTGACTTAGCAGTTTGCGAAGAGGAACATATCTTAGAGGAAACCATTATCATAAGTTTTAGAAACCATATGGTTTTCAGAAGCCCAGAGCCAGTCAGGAAACTGCTGGCTGTTTTCTTTGGGAGGTGTCACCTGACAGCAACCAACAGGCCTTCTGTCCAGGTCCCCATGACTGGTCAGCAGAATTAGCCCCCTCTCCCAGAAGGAGCCCACATCCTAATCCCTGGAACCTGGGATTCTGTTCCCTCCCTTGGCAAAAGGGACTTTGCAGGTGGGTTGAGGATCTTTGTGAGACATTATCCTGGATCATCCAGGTGGCCCAGTGTCACCCCAGGGTCCTTAAGAGGGAAGCAGGAGGGTCAGAGTTGGAAGGCAACATGACCGGGGAGCAGATATTAGAGTGATGCACTTGGAAGACAGAGGTAGGGACCACAAGCCAAGGAACATGGACGGCCTTGAGAAACTAGAAAAGCCAAGGAAATGGATTCTCCCCTGTGGCCTCTAGAAGGAACCAGCCCACACCTTGATTTTAGCCCAGTGATGCCTATTTCAGACTTCCAACCTTCAGAACTATAAGATACTAAAATTATGTTGTCTAAAATGACCAAGTTGATGGTTATTAGAAACAAATACAACAAAAAAGAATTTCAAGAAAAGGAAGAAAACTCAAAGAGGCAAGGAACCCCACATTACAAACCCAACGCAACCTGCTGCTGCCCTGCTTAAGACACCCCTCAAAGGACCTCGGGTGCTCCCTTCCAGCTGACACCACTTACCTGGCAACCCCCAGGAGCAGGGACAGGCCCCAGAAGGCTGTGCTCAGTGTCCACCACCGGGAAGCATCCACGTGGAGGATGTTGGCATCGGCAGCCCAGGCTATGTGCTCACAGGGGTAATAGAGCTGGTCGGCCAGGTTGCCCAGCACAGACACCCAGCGGACAAAGATGTCCTCCTCCTGCAGACAGGGGAGAGGTGGGCCTTGAGTCTGACCTACCCATGGCCTGTTTTAGGGCTGTGGCCCTGCCAGGCTGCAATGAGATACCTGTTCTGCAGGAGAGAGGCTATAGGGCTGGGCCTCAGCACTGGGGAATTTAAGTTCCCAGGGAATTCCCAAGTGTGACTAAGCTGGGATCCCTGCATCATAGCCTTCCTTCCTGAAGCCTTCCAGCTCCTGCACACGGGTCTCAGCAAAGGCTCTCTGATGTAGAAAACCCAGACCGGGAAGAACAGGGCGGCACAGTGACAGGCATGTGTCCCAGGTGCTGCAAGGTTTGTGTTGCCTCCCTCAAACTCAAGAGGGGTCACTGTCTTCCCCTTATAGACCGCCAGACTGAGGTGCTAAGGGAAAGCCACCTGCCCTAGCTCAGGTTCTGGAGCCCACAAGGGGTCTCTGCCATGCACTGAGCCCACACCCTCTACCCCAAATTCTCAACAACCGCCTGCACCCAATGAGGCAGCTTCAGTGAGGCTGCAGGAGGGCAGCAGAGGCCCAGCTCCTGGGACTGCATCCCCGATCCTGCTCCTCAGGACTCAGCCACTTCCTGAACTTTCATTTATTTTCTAACTTTTACCCCATCATCCTCACTTGTCCCAAAGTCTTCCCTGTGCAGGCAGTTTATGATTTTCTTAAATTTTGCTGTCTTTTTTTGAGATCATCAAATGTGATGATCTGTGCCCCAGGAAAGGGAGGGAGGGAAGTTCTTGGGGATGCATCAGAGGCATACAGAGGAGGAGGATGGGATAGTTGACAAGAGACGAAGCAGGTCCAGAGAAACACTCCTGATTTGGGATGACTGGGCTGTGGGCACATGGAGCTGAACAGGAGAACATCTGAGCAGCAAGTGGCTAGAGGGAAGACCCCTGGGAGGGCATCCCTGAGGCGCATGACCTATGCAGCCTCTGAGATGTCTCCCTTAAGGGCGGGATGGCCCTAGAGAGGACCACTACTCTAATCAGCTGACATTTATGTGGGATGCTGCAGGGATGGGGCTACCCCTTGCAGCACTGTCATAATAGCAAAGGCTTAAAAATCATCTATGTGCCCATCAACAGGGTATTGGTTAAATAAATCACAGTCCACCTATACAGCAGAATACTATGTAGCCATAAAGAATGAAAGAGCTGGGCAGCGCCTGTGGCTCAGTAAGTAGGGGACCAGCCCCGTATACTGAGGGTGCCAGGTTTGAACGCAGCCCCGGCCAAACTGCAACAAAAAATAGCTGGTGTTGTGGTGGGCACCTGTAGTCCCAGCTACTTGGGAGGCTGAGGCAAAAAAATCACCTAAGCCCAAGAGCTGGAGGTTGCTGTAAGTTGTGATACCACAGCACTCCATCAGGGTAACAAAGTGAGACTCTGTCTCAAAAAAAAAAAAGAAAGAACTGGCTTGGCACCTACAGTTCAGTGCTTAGGGAGCTGGCCACATACACGAAGGCTGGTGGGTTCGAACCTAGCCCAGCCCTGCCAAACAACAATGACAACTACAACAACAAAAAATAGCTAGGCACTGTGGCAGGCACCTGTAGTCCCAGATACTTGGGAGACTGAGACAAGAGAATCACTTAAGCCCAAGAGTTAGAGGTTGCTGTAAGTTGTGATACCTCAGCACTCTACCAAGGGCAACATAGTGAGACTGTCTGAAAAAAAAAAAAAAAGCACTCTTCTTAGACTCATAAGAAATAATCTCCAACTTGTACTATTAAAAGGGAAAAAAACTCTATTCATGTAAACTGTGTATTTGCCTGTATAAGTAGAGGAAACTTGATGAAGGAGACACAAGAAGCTGACCACAGTGCCCGCCTTGGAGGGAGAAATGTGGGAGCCTGGACATTCAGGAAGGAAGGAAATTTTTAAAATTATATACCCTTTTGGAATATACAAACGTGTAAGCTATTTTAAAGCAAAATGAGAACATCTGATGATCTCAAAAAAGAAAGCAAAATTTAAGAAAAGCATCAACTGCCTACACAGGGAGGACTTTGGGACAAGTTAATGAAATGCTGACTGCAGCCACAGCCTCGGGCTTCCTGAGGTCTGTAGCTCCACATTACCTCTGCCCCCAGGCCGTACTGCTTAGTGTAGACGAACATGGCCAGGTCATCAAAGAGTCGCAGGACGGTCCTACAGTGGCTGAGTTGGGTGGACACTGCCAGCAAGCGCGTCCCCACTTCAGAACTGGCAGGACATTGTTCCAGCAGGACCCCACCGACCAGTTGGCAGCAGTACCCCAGAGTTCGGATCTGTAGGAAACCAGAAGCCATAAGCATGATATTGCTACTCAAAGGACTACACTGGATTACCCCTGACCTGGCCGTGGGCTCTGCTGAGTTGAGCATGAGGAAGATTATAAATCTATAAACTTCCAGTAAAAACTGAAAGTTTAAAAGCTTACTGTAGGTGGGACAAAGAAACATGACATCATTTTCCAGAGGCACTATGGAGAGCACCAGCTAATGTCACAGAGGGGCACAGCCTTTGATGACAGATGTAACAGAGACAATGAAAACAAAACTCTTTTATTTCCTACCTCTTGGGTCCTCCTTTTCCCATCAGGTAGGAGGAGGAGACTAAAATGTATATTTGCATCTACCTGGCTGGACCAAAGCCCTTGGCTGGGCTGAAGGTTGATCAGGCCTCAACTCATTGGACAAAATAATAATTTCCTTGAATTACGTTAGAGAAAAGAAACACACTCAGTAGGTGATTGTGAACATAGTGAACTAGATCAGCTTCACCACCCTTTTAATTATTTCATCTGCTTTTCAGAAACTGCTATTTTATACCTACTTTTTGGGAGGGTGTGATGCGAGAGTCTCACCTTCTCACCCTGGGTAGACTGCGTGGTGTCACCTTAACTCACGGCAACCTCAAACTCCTGGGCTCAAATCTTCTTGCCTCAGCCTCCTGAATAGCTGGGACTACAGAAGCCACCACAATGCCCAGATAATTTTTCCATTTTAGTAAAGGTAGGGGCTCACACTTGCTCAGGCTGGTCTTGAACTGCTGAGCAACCCACCTTCCTTGGCCTCCCAGAGTACTAGGAGTACAGAAGTGAGCCACTGTGCTTCTCCTGTTTTCTTTATTACTATTACTTGTAATTCCTTCTGAACTCTGTGGTAATGGTAAAATGTCCCAACTCGTGGGGTGGATGGGGAGATTTGTTAAAACCTGAATGCCCAGTCATAAGGAATTTGCTTGGAATCTAAATACACTACCTGGTACAACTTCCTGTAAGAGACTGGCCAGGCCTGGAGGGAATAAACTAAATGCTCAAACCAGCAGGGATGTGGTTGGAACGCACTATCTAGCCATAGGAGGGGTCTTGCAATACCCTAAATCCCCATACAAGACTGCTTGGGACAACCCAAGGTCCAACTACATTGGCCTGTCAGGTCCTAAATGTCCAAACAAGAGAATGTTTGGTATGGAAATGTCTAGCCAGGTTTGGGCTTGGCAGGAACCATCTAAACGACCAACTACAGGGCATCTGCTGGAACCCATCCTGGCGAGGCACCGCAAAGGCCTGAAAACAGAGGGATCCTGGTGCTAAGTAAGGAGACACAGCTTAAATGCCCAGCTCGAGGGGATGCGGTCAGAACCTAAACGTGCAGCCATAGGGAGAGCCCTGCACCATCCTAAATGCCTATAGGGGACTGCTCGGGACAGCCCTGAGATTAACTTCAGCGGCCTGGTCGGATCTTAAATGGGAGGCAGGTAAATGTCCAACCAGGTGGCGTTGGCAGAACCACCTAGCGGCGGCGGATAGGAGACCGTGTTTGAGCCTAGCTCGGACAGGGCCGCTACAGTGGGAGAAATTCGCCGTCGCTCTGGCCTCAGTTTCCCCGTATCTGATTTTGGCCAAAGGCCAGGACTTCCGGCCCAGGTCCACCCCTGCCTCACCAGGCGGTCCCGACCCCTGTAAGACTCCAGCGCCGACGCCAGGCCGCTCAGCGACGCCATGGCAACTCCGCCGTGACGTCACCGCGGCGTCGGCGCGTCGCTCCAGGAGACGGAGCCAGGCTGCACTCTGGGAGAGTTCGTCCGGAAGGCCCGCGTACACGCGCTCTGCGCAGGCGCAGCCGCAACTTTTTAGCCCTGGCGCTAGGCTTGGGGGAGGAACCGACTTTGCAAAATGTTAGGCCATCGCTTGTGTGTTGTCTGGGCCTGTGCATCCAGAATGATCCTCTTATCAGCTAGCTGCATCCTGCCCCATGGCGGCTTCACCAACTGCTCACAAAACAAAATGAATCAAAATTAACGAACTACCCACACACATAACACTAAATAATCCAAGCAAAGCCAACCTGTTAGCAGTGGTTCAAGAAGTTTTTCTTTTCTCTTTTTTTTTAGAGACAGAGTCTCACTCTACCGCCTTCAGTAGAATGCTGTCACGTCACAGCTCCCGGCACCCTCCAACTCTTGGGCTTAAGCGATTCTCTTGTCTCAGCCACCCCAGGAGCTGGAACTACAAGTGCCTGCCACAACGCCCAGCTTTTTTGTTGCAGTTTGGCCAGGGCCAGGTTCGAACCCGCCACCCTCAGTATATGGGGCCGGCGCCCTCCTCACTGAGCCACAGCTGCCATCTGAGTTTTCCTTTCAGTTTTCCTGCTTTGCCTGCATTGTCTACTTGTCTTCAGTGAACAAGTATGATTGTTGTAATATTAATAGCGTAAGACATCTCTTCAGGCATTAAGAAAATGCATAGAATCGTTCCAGAAGAACAATCTGGGCTCGGCGCCTGTGGCTCAAGTGGCTAAGGCACCAGACACATACCCCTAAGGTGGTGGGTTCAAAAATCCAGCCCGGACCCGCCAAACAAAAATGATGGCTGCAACCAAAAAATAGCCTGGCGTTGTGGTGGGCGCCGGTGGTCCCAGCTACTTGGGAGGCGGAGGCAGGAGACTCGCTTGAGCCCAGGAGTTGGAGGTTGCTATGAGCTGTGATGCCACAGCGCTCTACCCAGGGGGACAGCTTGAGGCTCTGTCTCAAAAAAACAAAAAAGAACAATCTGGTAACACAGATGATTGGAGAAAAGATTAAATTTTCACCTTTATACCATTTTGTTGTAGCTTTTGGGTTTTGTGCAATATGCATGTATTATCCAAAAAAAAAAAAAGGTTTCAAAAACTTGATTCACATTTTTTTCTTTTATTGAGATGAAATTTACGTAACATGAAATTCACCATTTTTAAGTACACAATTCAGAGTATTTAGCAGTACATTCACATGTTGTACAACTACCACCCCTTGCTAGTTTTGAAGTTCATCACCCCCAAAGAAGACTCTTGTAGGAGACCAGTATGCTGCTCCAAAATGTGCCATCTTGACATAAGAATTATTTTGAGCTGGCTTGGCGCCTGTGGCTCAAGTGGCTAAGGCGCCAGCCACATACACCTAAGGTGGCGGGTTCGAATCCCCAGCCGGGCCCGCCAAAAAACAATGATGGCTACAACCAAAAAATGGCCAGGCGTTGTGGCAGGCGCCTGTAGTCCCAGCTACTTGGGAGGCTGAGGCAGGAGACTAGCTTGAGCCCAGGAGTTGGAGGTTGCTATGAGCGTGATGCCATGGCGCTCTACCCAGGGGGATAGCTTGAGGCTCCATCTCAAAAAAAAAAGAATTATTTTGAGCTGAAGGCAATTGAAAAGTGGATACAGGAAAAGCTCTCTGCCTTCCCCCTATTTGCCTAAAAGCAGGACACAAATGTACAAAGGTGCCCTTCTTGCCTCTCTACCAGGAAGGGCAAATGTTGATCACCAGAGACACCTTTAGACTCCTGTCTGGTAACATCTTTAGATTGCAAGGAAGGAAGCTTTGGAACACTGTGTAACAAAAGCTTTACTAACTAGCCTTTACCATTTATCTGCCTTCCCACAAATTGCTTCTCTTAGAGACTCAAAGTCTTTTCCCTTTGTCTTGTCACGTCTCCAAAAATCTACTGTTCTGTGTTGAAGATGCTATGTATGCCAATGTGCTAAAATTAACACTTCTTTGAGAATGACTCATTTCTCTGGGTATCACCTATGTATATACTTGAGGTTTACATGCTAACAAATTTGTTTTTCCCTTGGTAATTTTTTCCTTATAGGCATCCATTCCACCAAAAGATAGAAGTAAAATTATTTCTCCTCCCTTACCCTCTGTTCCCACTTGCTTTCTCAATGCCCTCCCCCCCTCCCCCGCCCACTCCTGGCAACCACTAATTTGTTTTCTCTGTCTCTCTATATATTTACTTATTCTTGATATTTCATATAAATAGAATCATATTCTATGTGACCATTTGTATCTGGCTTCCTTTACTGAGCATAATGTTTTTGAGGTTGAACCAAGTTACACCATGTACCATAATTTCATTCTTTTTGCAGCTATATAATTAATATTCCACTGTAGGGATAAACATTTTGCTTATCCATTCATCAGCTGATGGACATCTGACCTGTTTCCACCTTTTGGCTATTGTGAATAAGTGCTGCTATAAACATTCATTTACATATACTTGAGTCTGTTTCAATCCTTTTGGCTATATACCTTAGAGTAGAATTGTTGGATCATATGGTAACTCTATGTTTAACTTTTTCCAGTCCCACAGCATTGCAGAGTTCAAACTTCTCCACATCCTTACAATATCCTTTTTCTGTATTATTGTAGCCATCCTAGTGTGTGTGAACTTGCATTCCATTGTGATATTTTACATTTCCCTGATGACTAATGGTGTTGACAGGTTTCCTTTTGCAAAATATTTCCTCTTGATGTCAACTCTTTTTTTTTTTTTAAGAGACAGAGTTTCACTTTATTGCCCTTGGTAGAGTGCTGTGACATCACAGTTCACAGCAACCTCCAGCTCTTGAGCTTAGGCAATTCTCCTGCCTCAGCCTCCCAAGTAGCTGGGACCACAGG